TGATGGTGTGCATAGGAATCAAATCAATTACATTCATGGAAAGATTCACTGGAGAAGCTCATTATCAGCTATGAAAACCAGGGCAGGTGCTGATTGTGGGACAGACCACCAACTACTCATATGCTAGTTCAAGCTGAAGTTGAGGAAAATGAAATCAAATCCACGGGAACCAAAATTTGACCTTAAGTCTGCCCCACTCTTGTTTCAAAACCATTTCAGGAACAGGTTTAAGACCTTGAGCACCAATAAGCATAGACCAAATGAGCTGTGGGAAGATATAAAGAATCTCATCCATGAAGAACGCAAAAGATCATTACAAGGACTGAAGAAGAAGAAACTACAAAGATGGATGCCAGATGAGATTCTGAATATTGCATTAGAGCGCTGAGAAGCCAAAGCTAAAGGAAGAAACCAAGAAATCAAAGAGCTGAACAGAAAATTTCAAAAGGCAGCTCAGGATGACAAAGCAAGATACTGTAATGAAATGCACAGAGCTGGAATCAGAAAATCAAAAGGGCCAAACTCTCTCAGCATTTCTTAAGCTGAAGGAGTTTAAAAACCAAATTCAAGCCACCAGATGACAATACTTAAGGATACTTTGGGTAGAATGTTAAATGATCCCAGTACACCGAGTCACTGTGTCGGAAGGAATAGCTGCAACACTTCCATGATACATCTTCAAGGATATGAATATGTACGGCTAAGCACAATTGATAACAGTGCATCTAAATTCCAAAATCAATCTCCATAATAGTCTATGTGTTTCCTACTGCCAAAGGGACCCTTTAGAGTAGTGAGAGAAGACCTTCACCCTGAAACCCACAGCGTCCCTTTTCAGCAGGAAGTAGCTAAGAGAATACGCGTCCCCTTTTCCTTATGAATCAGGGTGAAGTCTCTCTCAGGGAGGAGTGATAGGGAATGGGAAGGGACACACTGACAAAGGAGTTTAATCAGAACTGGCTTTGACAAGCACTGTGGCAATTGGACAATTAAAACAGACATGGTGGGGGGGAGAAGAACGAACTGGGAATGAGGGTGGAGAAAACAGTGCAACAATGAATGAATGAAAACCCAAAATCTCTGTAAATGTTCATTAAAACTAATAAAATTTAATTTAAAAAAAGAAGAATTTCATGAAATAACATATGAGCAAGAGTCTGTGGTGATGAAGAAGGAACTTCAAGTTGCTCTGAAGGAATTGGCAAAAAACAAAGCTCCAGGAGTTGATGGCATACTAATTGACATATTTCTACAAACAGATGCTGCCCTGGATGTGCTCACTAAGTTGTGCCAAGAAATCTGGAGGACAGCCAGCTGACCAACAGGAAAAGATCGATATTTGTTCCCATTTCAAAGAAAGGTGACCCGAGAGAGTGCGGAAACTATCATTAATATCACATGCAAGCAAGATTCTGCTGAAAATGATCCAAAAATGATTGGAGCAATATGTCAATGGAGAACTGCCAGATGGGCAGGCTGGGTTTAGAAGAGGTTGTGGTACTAGGGATATTATAGATAATGTTAAATGGATCTTGGCAGAAAGCAGAGAATACCAGAGGAATATCTATCTGTGCTTCAGCTATGGCTGACTCTGAGAAGAATGGAAATCCCAGAACATTTGATTGTGCTTATGCAAAACCTATACTTGGACCAAAAGGCAGCTGTCCGAACAGAGCAAGGAGACACTACATGGTTCAAAATCAAGAAGGGGGTCCATCAGGGATGTATTTTGTCTCTATACAATTTCCATTTGTATGCAGAACAGATCATCCGAGACACTAGGCTGTATGAGGAGGAATGTGTCATCAGGATTGGTGGAAGATTTATCAACAAGCTGTGTTATGCAGATGACACAACCCTGCTTGCTGAAACTGAGGAGGACCTGAAGCACTTGCTGCAGAAGGTCAAGGACTGCAGCCTTCAATACAGAGTGAAGCTCAACATCAAGAAGACAAAGATTCTTACTAGTGGGCCAATTGGTAGCATCATTATGGATGGTGACGAGATTGAGGTTGTTCACAGTTTTAGTTTGCTTGGCTCCAAAGTCAACACTCTTGGTACCAGCAGCCATGAAATCAAGAGATGAAATACATTGGGAAAGTCAGCTGTGAGGGACCTCTCACGAGTACTGAAGAGCAACGACATCAGGCTGGAGACCAAAGTGAGCAACTATCACCAATTCTACTAAAATTATTTTTAAAAATAGAAAAAAATAAGGAAGCAAGACATTAATATCAAAACAGGCAAAGATATTATCAAAAAGGAAACCTACAGGCCAATAGTTCTCATAAATATCGATGCAAATATTCTCAACAAAATCTTGGCCAATAGAATCCAATGGTATATTATAAAAATAATGCATCATGACCAAATAGGATACATAACAGGTATCCAAGGATGATTCAGCACAAGAAAAGCCATCAACATAATTCATCACTTTAACTAAGGAAAGAACAAGAAGCACATAATCCTATCAATTAACACAGAAAAGGCTTTTGACAAAATTCAATACCTCTTTCTGATTAAAACACTCAATAAGACAGGGATTGAAAGAAATTCCCTCAACATAGTGAGGGAAACCAAAAGAAAACATCATTCTCAATGGAGAAAAACTAAAAACATTACCCCCTGGGATGTCCACTTTCATCATTCCTGTTCAATATTGTTTTGGAAGTACTTGCTAGGGCAATATGACAAGATTGGAAAAAACAATCGTCCAGATTGACAAAGAAGAGGTACAACTCTCGCTATATGCAGAAGAACTCAACAAAAAACCTCTTAAAGTTAGTGGACCAATTTAGTAGGGTGACAGAATACAAGATCAAGATACAAAAATCAGTGAGATTCCTCTGCTATTACAAAGAAAACCCAGAGAAGCAAACTGAGAAAGCAGTATCATTTAACAGAAAATGAGGTACTTGGGAATAAACCTGACTAGAGACACAAAAGACTTTTATAAAGAAAATGACAAAACACTACGGTGAGATAAAATAAATATGTACATGAGTGGAACACACTTTTTTTAAAAATCAGGACCTAGGCATTATTTGACTTAATTTCAGTGCTACAGTAAGAGGGATCATTTGAAATTCTAATCATTTCTTTCACTCCCACAAAAACAAAAAAATAAAAGGCATTGACAACTTGCCAAAATTGATCAGTTTTGAGCAAGTAAATTACATTTCTTTAAAAAAAAAAAACCCACCAAAAACTTGTGCCTAAAGAATCTTAAAATCCAGTGTAGTCCATAGGAACTTGTGCCAACCTAAAGATGGCTCCTCTCTACAGCTGGGATCCACCAGCTCCTCCATAAAAGAAAGATACACAGTTTCCCTCTGCAGCATTTATAACTTCATAAAACCTGCTGGAAGGTCTGCTGAGTCAGTTCCAACTTGATGGCAATGAGAGAGAGAGAAAGAGAATATTACAACAACTCAAGCATCACTGAGCAAAGAGCATTTCTATAGTATTCAATGTTGCTATTCCATTTTCTAACTTAAAATAGCCTATGGTAGCTAGCAGGGAAAAAAAATCCTTGCTATAGGCTGGGTCTGCTTGTGAAATTAGGATATAATTACTGCATGCTACTAATTCACCTTTTATATACCTTAGGGAGCTCTGGTGGTCTAGTGGTAAAGAGTTGGGCTACAATCCTGAAGGCAAAGAGTTTGAATACACCAGTTTCTCTGTGGAAGAAAGATGGACAATCTCCTCCGGTACAATTTCAGTCTCTGAAAACCTTCTGGAAGGTCATCGATGGGTTGATTCCAACTCAGTGGTACACAACAACAATAACAACATAACTTTTAGGGAGCTCTGGTAGCATAGTATGTAGGGAGCTATTCAGCTAACACAATGGTGGTGCCTTTCCGGTTGTTTGAATCCACCAGCTGATCCAAGAGTGAAAGACAGCTATTCTCTTTCCATGTGATTTACAGCCTCTGAAAACCACATGGATGGCTAGCTATGGAGCCCATTCCCACTTGATGGTAATGAATTGAGTTGTTGAGTTGAAGATGTCTTTTAAACATTGAAGATATTGCTAAAATATTTGATGGTAGAACAGGATTAAGACAAAAAACCAAAACAAAACAAACACCTTTTGCAGAAGGAAATCCTGCTAATGTATTTCTGCTTTATAGTTTGTAGAAACATTAGAGTGAAATGAATTGTCACAATGGTTAGGTCAAATGCAGTTACATCATAGAAGCAATAAGTTTTACACAAACTAAGGCTTTAGCTGGTTGTTTAGTCAGCTGCTTCCCCTTTAGCAGCTTCTAGCCAGATTAGACACGGTTGTTGTTTTTGTTGTTATGTGCCATCGAGTCGTCTGTGATCATAGTGACCCTATATACAGAAGCCCTAAACTTTGCCCTATCCTGTGCCAATCTCACCATCTCTGACACACCTGCCTCCATTACCCCAGTCACTTAATCAAGTCATCTCATCAAGGGTTTTCCTCTCCTGCACTGTCCCTCCACCCTCCCAAGCATGATGTCCCTCTCCAAGGACTGGTCCCTCCTTGTAACATGTCCAAAGTATGTCAGACGAAGCTTCAAAATCCTTGCCTACAAGGAGCATCTCGGTTTCACCCTCTCCAGTACAAACCTGTTTTCCTAGCAGTCCATGGTAAATTCAATACTCTTCTCCAACACCAAAGCTCAAAGGCATCAATTCTCCTTCTATCCTCCTTAGTCATTGTCCAGCTCTCTGATGCATAGCAAGTGATTGCAAGGACCATGGCATGTATGAAGTGCACCTTAGTTCCCAGACGGACATCTTTGCACTTCAGCACTTTAGAGAGGTCTCTAATCTCGGACTTTCCCACAGTGTGCTGTAAATGGAGGGAAGATGCCCAAGCCGGAAGAAGTTAAACCTCGAGCAGAAATTAAAGGAAAAGGGTTTTTCTTAAGAACCATTTGAAATAAGAAGGTTTCCCTAATATTAGAGCTTTATATTTGGACTTACAGGCCCCTAAACTTAAGGGACATTGATTACAGCACAAGAAATTGGCAACCTGGAGATAACGGAAAGCCAGTCAGCAGATGCTGAGCCTCCCCCTCCCCCGAAGCCAGACCTGAGCCGTTACCCAGGGCTACGAACACACCTCAGCCTGGATGCTACTGAAGACAGCAGCCTCTTGGGCAAGGACAGCCCCCCTACACCTACCATGTACAAGTACCGACCAGGCTACAGTAGCAGCAGCACATCAGCCGCCATGCCTCATTCCTCCAGCGCCAAGCTGAGTCGTGGAGACAGCCTGAAGGAGCCAACCTCCATCGCGGAGAGCAGCCGCCATCCCAGCTACCGCTCAGAGCCCAGCCTGGAGCCAGAGAGCTTCCGCTCTCCTACTTTTGGCAAAAGCTTCCACTTTGACCCACTATCAAGTGGTTCACGCTCCTCTAGCCTCAAGTCGGCTCAAGGCACAGGGTTTGAGCTGGGCCAACTGCAGTCCATTTGTTCAGAGGGTACAACTTCCACCTCCTATAAGAGCCTAGTCAACCAGACACGCAATGGAAGCCTGTCTTATGACAGCCTGCTCACTCCTTCAGACAGCCCTGATTTTGAGTCCGTGCAGGCAGGGCCTGAGCCAGAGCCACCATTAGGCTACACCTCTCCCTTCCTGTCAGCCAGGCTGGCCCAGCAACGGGAAGCTGAGAGGCACCCACGTTTGGTGCCAAGTGGTCCATCACATCGAGAGCCCTCAGCAGTCCGGTACGACAATCTGTCGCACCATATTGTGGCCTCCCTCCAGGAACGAGAGAAGCTGCTGCGCCAGTCACCCCCACTCCCAGGCCGTGAGGAAGAACCAGGCTTGGGGGACTCGGGCATTCAGTCAACTCCAGGCTCAGGCCATGCCCCTCGTACTAGCTCGTCATCAGATGATTCGAAAAGATCACCTTTGGGCAAGACTCCACTGGGACGCCCAGCTGCTCCTCGTTTTGGCAAGCCAGATGGGCTAAGGGGCCGGGGACTAGGGTCCCCTGAACCAGGCCCACCAGCCACATACCTGGGCAGATCTATGTCTTACAGCAGCCAAAAGGTCCCACCTGGTGTTTCAGAGACAGAGGAAGTGGCCTTGCAGCCATTACTGACACCCAAAGATGAAGTACAGCTCAAGACAGCCTACAGCAAATCTAACGGGCAGCCCAAGAGTCTAGGCTCGGCCTCCCCTGGCCCCGGCCAGCCCCCTCTCAGCAGCCCCACCAGAGGAGGAGTGAAGAAGGTGTCTGGGGTGGGTGGTACCACCTATGAGATATCGGTGTGAGCCTTCGGCACTCTTCCCCCACCGCCTCTGCGCCTACACCAAAGGGCCCCAGGTGGCCACCTTTCTGCCCTCAAGGGGCTTCCCTCCTCTGCACAGACGTTTCTAAACTACGATTCCAAGAGGATGAGGAAATTTACAAAATGCGCTTGGGTTGGGGAGTCAGAGAATTGGGGCCCTGAGACTGGGGTAGCAGCCCCCTTTCCACCTTTTAAAACCTTCCTTAATCCCTGGAGCAGACTCAGTGGACATTTGTGCAATTGCTCACCCAGGAGGGAACCAGATCATTTTTAAACCAGAAATAATTAAAAAAAAAAAAAAAGGAAATTGGCAACCTGTTGATGAATTTGGAATCACAGAAACCCACTAAGTTCGAGACAGAAGCTTGGTTATAGATTAGACACTGACTCACCTAGAATAAAGACTTACCTTTGAAAGGAAAATTTTTAAAAAAATAACGTCCCCAAACCCAAGTATTGTAAAAACCCATACCTTTGATCTGTATTGTAAAAACCCATACCTTTGATCTGTATCGTAAGAACCTATACCTTTGATCTTGTGTGAATGTTTGTGTTCCAGGAACTTGCTGACCACAAACTGAAAAAACAATTACTGGCAAAAACCATATTTTAACTAACGTCAGCAGCAGGCAACTGACCTAAAATTGAACTTCTCCTTTTCCAAAGAGCCAATGAGCGATCTCTATGCCAAAGAACCCCTAAACCTAGTATAAATTCCCTTGCTTTTTGGGACTCGGGGTTGACTTCCCTGTCTCTTGTGTGAGATATAAGTCGTCCCGAAGCTTCGTCAATAAAGCCTCTTGTGATTACAGCAAGTGGATCTGGTGTGAGTTGCTCGGGGTCACGCCTAGTCTGGGTAAAGCCCTAGTTTGGGGTCTTTCATTTGGGGGCTCTTTCGTCCGGGATGGAGCAGCCACCCCCACAACCCACCAGCCAGCCACTTGGAGGTAAGAGGATCCTCTAGAATTTCTTTGTTTCTTTGTCTGTGCTGTGCCGCCAAACATGTGTGTTCATAAGACTGTTTTATTTTCAGCTTACTTTCAGTTTGTGACAGTGGCGAAAGCAGACATGCTTGAGAAAAACCACGAGACGTCCCTTTGGGTGGATTACGGATCCAGAGGCTTTAATAATCCCTGGTCCATCTGGCAGACTTAGAGTGTCCCTCCGGAGAGGAGGGGCCCGGAGGGCTCTCCAGTCTGAAGCAGCTTTCAATTGGTTGTCGCGAAGAGAGCTTCTTGTGTGTCTTGTATTTCTTGTGAGTGTCTGCTGTGTTCTGTGGGCGACTAATATAAGACAGAATCTAACGACACTCCTTTCCCTGACTTTAGGACATTTTTCTGAAGTAAGAACCAGGGCTAATAAATCTCTCCGTTAACGTTAAAAAAGGACCTTGGCAAACCTTCTGTAAACTCTGAGTGGCCCGCTCTAGGAGTCAGTTGGCCACCAGAGGGCGCATTTGACTTAACAATCATTTTGGTGGTTAAAGATCTTGTTTTCCAGGAAGGACCAAACAGGCATCCTGACCAACAGCCATACATCATCGTGTACCAACAGCCATACATCATCGTGTGGCAGGATTTAGTGCAGATTCCACCGCCATGGGTAAAACCTTGGATTTTGAAGAACCATACCACCCCTCTGCGCGCATTAGCCCTAAAAGCCCGAACTTCTGAGTCCAGAGTTCCTCTGGCCCCAGAAGCTGCACCATCAGCACCACCCAAAATTTATCCTGAGATTGAAAATCCACCTGAGTGGCCTGAAATGCGCCACAATCCTCCCCCATATCAGGGTCAGGTTGATCCCAGTCCCCCCATCCTCGCGAGTGCCCCCGAGGTACCAACACGGGGGACTCGCAGTTGGAGGGGTCTAGAGAGCCCAGATTCCATTGTGGCTCTCCCCTTACAAGCCTACGGAGGGCCCCCAGAGCCAGGACAACTCCAACCCCTCCAGTACTGGCC